CGGTGAATCTGGTGCCCCAAAATGCTTACACCAATCCTTTACTGTCGGAATGTACAGCACTCGAAACTCTATCATCTCACATTAGGTTGAGACTTGATGAAACGTTGGCCTGCTTCACATTTCAATATCCGTGAAACTGTACAAAATACCTGAGACCGTATACGATATTCCTCTTTTTAACCGATCACATAAAACAATTGATAAACTAACTTATGATACAAGAAAAGCACCAGCTTTTCAACATTTACCATAGTTTAACTTTGGTTTCATGATAGCCACTTTTGTTTTAAAATCGTATCGGCTAAATTGCTCAGAATTCGCAACATGGCATTAGCGATCTGGTTAGTCAATCCAGGGTCATAACTATAAAAACCGAGCATGCTCTTGTCAATCCCATCCTTCCCCTTCGTGTTAATCTTTCTGAATCAGCATCTAATCTGGAATTGGTGGCAGTTTGTCCTCAAGAGAAGAAAGATCCCATTCACATCATACTTGAATATGTGTATAAGAAATATCAGTTCATCAAAGTACATAAGATGGCATCCCTTAAAAGCAAGTGCCTTAAAATCGCATCAAACATCAAATTCAGAACTATAAATTGTGATGTGGTCACGATTGTTTCAAAAGAACTCATATTCTTGGGATCTTTCTGACCAGAGGTGGTTAGATCACCAACTTATGACCGGTGAATCCCGAGTTCGAACCACTCCACCGCCGCCCGTCTTCCAAGTCAGCCTTTGTATGGCCGCGGCCCCCTTTCCTGAATATTGATTGTACATTTGTATATTCAATAAATAAAAAAGGAAGTAAAAACATTTTTATTTATTACGTATTCAGATAGAGACAGCGCATACATGCGAGCTAAATACTGTGCGCAGTACGTGAACATGGTGTTTACTGGGGCACACACAAAAAAGAACGGTCTCTCGGTGCCTGTCTGCACCCGTCCGTTTATAATACGCATGCACACAGACGCCTGCTGATCCATTTTATCGCACCATGTCTTGTGATCCCTGTTCCATTGAGTATATATCCGTGATCAACCATTAATGACTTTGTATCACATACGGACAATTATTTTCTCCAATTTCCGTTGGTCGCAGTCACTGTAACTTAGTCGGTTGCAATTTTGTTTACTGTCAGCATGCTTCCTTATTTGAGTTAACAGTTTCCAGTCTGAATACATTTTAAACAAAGATGAACCGTTGGGAGTACTGTATGGCCGATTCATGGGAGTATTAGGTGGTTGATCATTTCTTATGAAGAATAATGACGTTTCCGTGATCTTGGTTGCATTCGTCCCATGAGTCATGTTATGCGGAAAAAGAAATGATAGATACACATTATCGATACAGAACGAGTGAAATGATTTCTTTTGTAATGTATTACATCCTAAAAGGGCGCGTACACGAGACCTGCGCGCTGTATTACCTAAACATTCCCGTTTCGTCAAACCCCAATGTTCTGATCGAACTGCTTGAACCAACGAAAACAAACAGTAGCGAATAAAAAGCAAGGACAAAAAGCGAGATGCGAAAGGGACGATATGGGTTGGTGTGTGCGGGTGCAATTAATAGTACAGAAACAAACACGGGCGAGTTGTGGATGTGCCTTGGATATAGTTGATAAACTCTTTCAAGTCATCTTGTAGCAAGGAATGAACTTTCAACGCAGAAACGAAAACCACTCAAGTGCCACAACAGTACATACCAGATCAACTACAGGCGCAAATGTATCGCACTTAACCACATGATTACAGACTCGGTCATCTGATGTGATCATTTACACAAGGTCAGGTGGTCTCTTGGACTTGTAGGACAGGATAATCTCACGTTAATCGATATATGAATTACCAAGCGGACAATCCAATTTATGGTCGAGTCGATTAACTACCGGAAGTCTGATGAAGTGTCCAATCCGTGCGTGTGACGATCGAAACCATTCCAAACACGGCAAATACCTTAGATATTGAGAAGGGACTCAACACATGCTTTAGTCGACATTCCAAATTAACAATTAAGCAAGCTACTCAATATAATTCACAGAGAAAGCTACCCTTACCACCACTGTTGCATATTTATAACATTTTGGTGAAGTCGTTAGGAAAGAGAAATCCGATATGAGCTGCATGCAATCCATTGCAAGAGCCGTCGTTTTGCAATCTGACACTCATGTCTTCGTTATTCTTCACGTATGTATAGACGTCATGATTTCCACTCGTTTTAACGCAACAAACGACAAACCATAATTTACAGATCGCAAGATACAGGCAGCACAAGGTTAGATGCCGCATTCACTTCCAATGTAGCTCCATTTTTCGGTTGAGGCATAAT